ACAATTATATACATATTGTCATATACAATTGCTTCTTAAACTAGTTAAGAAGAGAAAGGAGAGGAAATATGCATGTACACTGTCTTTTATCATTACACAATTCCCTTACTGCTGTTCTTTGTTTTTCTATATGGATTTGTATTACCATCTGGGCTCACTTGCTTCCTGCCTGACAACCCTCCTTTTGTGTTTTTTTCTAAAGTCAATTTGCTATAAAGTTTCTTCAAGTACCCATATTCTGTTTCAAATAAAACCAGTTCTTTGGGGAAGAAATTCAGAGATCTCTGTGATTAGGGACTGCCTCTCTCCCTGGGAAAATATCTCCGAACCACTGCTTCTCCCTGTACAGGGGTGGTAGCCTGTGGTCTTCTCTACTTGCCTCTACCAGGTTGGAAATTCCTTCCTACAAGTGAGCCAGAGGGAGGGTGATCAGGCCAGGCAATCTCAGCCTGCTGTGCATCAGCTAGAGCCTTCACTCTATGAGTGGGGCTGGGTGCAGGTTGGGAGCCCCAGCCTCCAGGAATTTAGTCTCTGCAACTCAGTGCTGGAGGCCATGAGAAATACTGGTAACCTGCCTCTCCCAGTGACACACCTTATCCTGCATGAAAAAGGGAAAAGGAAGCCACATCTTGTTGACCACACCCACCAGGAGCAGAGCTTTTGTTAAACTGAACTAGGTAAGAAATTCTGTGAAATCCAGGTACCATTCCGTTTTTACAGCTTTCAGAAATTCCTATTATGGTTGTTGAATCAGTGCTTTGTACTCAGTGCTTTCAGTTTCACATTACTCTAAGTCCTTCACTTCTAATTAATGGGTCTTCAGGAATTCTGGAAAGTCACATGACATCAGACAGGTGAATAAAAACCCAACCATCAGGTGAAAGATAGAGAAGTGGCAGATACCACTCCAACCTACACTGAGGAGAAAAAACAGGTAAGAACTTTATTTTGAAAATCCCATACACTTTAGTCAAAGATGTAAGCTTTGTTTCAGAGAGTATTTCTTGGTTTAGAAGTAACCCAGGTTCTGGTTGCCAGGTGGGAGGAAGGATGAGGCTGGGTGAAAATGGGGAAGGGATTAAGGACACAAATTGGCAGTTACAAAACTGTCACAGGGATGTAAAGTACAGCCTAAGAAATGTGCTCAATAATATTGTGATGATTATGCAGGCTGCCAGGTGGGTACTAGACCTATTGGGGGTTTCACTTCTTAAGTTATAGAAATCTCTAACCACTATGTAGTATGCTGAGATTCATACAATATTGAATGCCAACTGTAATTAAAAATAAACTCTTAAAAATAAAATAAAACATATCCCAGGTCCACTAGATCCACTTTATTAGTGCCAGCTGCTTTCTTATGCCTTACAAGTAGAATTTGGTCCCCATATGTTAGTAAAAAATTTATCTTTAAAGAACCCACTGTGGTGCAGTGAATTCACTAAAGCCAATATTTTGTTTATCTGACTCCTCTGTGCTCTCAAGCAGTTTTTTTAAATATATATATATTTTATTGAATTTTTTTACAGAGAGGATGGGAGAGGGATAGAGAGTTAGAAACATTGATGAGAGAGAAACATCAATCTGTTTCCTCTTGCACAACCCACACTGGGTATGTGCCCGCAATCAAGATACATGCCCTTGAATGGGAACAAACTTGGGACCTTTCAGTCCGCAGGCTGAAGCTCTATCCACTGAGCCAAACCAGTCAGGGCTCTCAAGCAGTTTTGTACTTGCTTTCTGGAAACTGCTTCTGAACTCATTGGCTTGACATGAATTTCACACCTCACCTACTTCTCTAACAGCAAAAAAGGTGGTGTCCTTTCCATTTTGATTTGGGTTTTAATCACCCCAACCCTTAACTACTTGGCTGTATATCTTCATTATTTTTAGATTCCAAAGAGAACAGTCAGTATGGGGAGGAGCCAGATGCAGGAGGAGTGAAGGAGGGATGAGCTAGGATAACTAAGAACCTGTCCCCTGTCTGCAGCACCCAAGACATGTAGGTTCCCACTAAACTAGGTCTTCCAGGCACACGTTCATTAACAAAAACAACAACAACACGTGCCCGAGCACAAGCCTCACACTGGAAGTGCATGCTTGGCACTGGAGGGCATGGGACAACTGGATACTAGTACTGGGCCTGGCTACCAGCAGCTCAGAGTCTCTGTTTGGCTCAGAGGCCTCTCTGTGAAGCAACCAGTGCTCATCAAACTTGTCTCCAAGGTGAGCTGCCCCTCTGGCACCCTCCCAGGGCTACACAAACAGCCCTCCATGGGGAGAGAAGGAACGCAATGTTTCTCAAATGCCAAAAGGGGCTAAACCCATCCTGGGATGGATGGAGTAAACCCCATCCACTTGCAGAGGCTCCTGGTGGAGTCTCTCCCTCCATCTCCCTGTCCCTCTTCAGATTGTCCCTGCACCACAAACACCATCTCCACCTCACCTCCAGGCACTGGAGAAACTGAGAGAAAATGTGGTCCTTAACTTACAGACAATTTAAATCCTGAAAGGTTGACTCTGATTATTTTTGTACTTAACAATACTTAATATTCCAAAGAGAGCACAAAGCTGTGTGATATAGAATAATTCAATTCATCACCAACTGTTAGAACTAACTCTAAGATCTAAGAGTGTTTGTTTACCAGGCATTACAAGAACCATCTCAGAATGTCCTGTCATACTCGCTGAGAAGTCAAGGCTTGGGGTAGTTTCCACCATCACTTCAGATGACTGACTCTCCTGAGGAGGAACTTTGGAAACCAACTAACTCCACACAGGAGAACTATTTCATTTTACTTGTTCATTTGAATTTAACAGCTTTTGGATTGGGTATTTCAGTTTACTTACATTTTTTAAAAATTTTGTTAACTTATCTATTCCTACCCAAAATTTTAAATATTCAGTCCAAGAAATAAACCCTGTAATTCCTCCTGGTTGTATCAAAGAGCTAGAAGATTAATGTTTTACTCCCCAACTTTGCTCTCAATCACCTTTAGACAAAAAAGTGAAATGGTACAGAGGAAGTGTGTTAAAAATTTTTGTTATGCCCTGACCGGTTTGGCTCAGTGGATAGAGAGTTGGCCTGCGGACTGAGGGGTCCTGGGTTCGATTGCGGTCAAGGGCACCAAAAATAAATAAATAAATAAAATAAAAAATAAATAAATAAAATATTTCTTGTTATTTTCTGAGAAAAAGATTTTAGACACCTTATTATTTGTTGGCAATTTGCAGCTTACTGAACATATATACACATTTCAACACAATGCCTACCTCTATAGTAATCATTAATTACTGAGCCCCTGTGTGTACCAGAACCTACAGGAATGAGTCAGACAGGAATTCTTGCTTTATCTATCTCACTAAGGAAATGCAGGCTCACAGAGGTGAGTTCCTTTTCCGAAGTCTCATTGACATAAGTGATTTGAAGCCTGGTAGCGAATCCAGAATCTGTGCTCTGACATCCCAGGACTGCTCTGGGTTCTCCCACAGAACTCCTCCACCCCCACAAGTGTCCTCCCTCTCAGCTGGTAGTGCTGCTCCTGTCCTGCCGGAGTCCTACTCATGGGATGTGTCCTCCACATGCTCACAACTGGATAAAGAGATTCTTCACCTTCATTTAGAACTTAACCTCCCTGCCCTCTTAGATACTCAATTTTTAATCAATACTAACATAGGATTCAGAATGCAACACATGATTTTAAGAGCATTATAAATTTTATCATTTACTTAATCTTCCTAATGACCTTAATGACCAATACATTGTGTGTGGTTTTTATTTTATTTTATTTTTTCAGTGTTGCCATTTTATGGAAGAACAAACTAAGACAGAGAAATTACTCTTTCCAGTGTACACAGCTAGGAGAGCATGGAGCACATGAATGTTGTGTAGGATTGTCCTTGAGAAAGTGAAGGCACAGTCAAAGCACTTTGACTGCTTTCTGTCCTTTGATTGCATGAAACACCCACTGTGATGGAAACAGTAAAGTAGGACCTCTCCCAGCTGTGGGACTCTGGCAGCTCTGGGCACACCCTAAAACACCCTGGCTACAGCCTCTCTTCCCTGCTAGCCCAGAAACAAAAATGTCCTTTTAATCCAGTTTAAATAAATGAACTCCTGCATTCGCAACTGTCCCTGGGTCCTATAAAGATCTGTATCGTGGTGTTTCGTGAGGGAGTTTCATTCTTTGTCTTCTTCTTCCTCTCAAAGTCTCCACTCCTCCAACTGCTGGTAGCCAGGCCCACTATTAGCCTCCCACTGTCCCTTTGCCCTCCAGCTCTCAGGATTCACTACATTTGTTCTCCTCAAGGTCACAAAGCACATTTATTTATCTTTTTCTGAGAGGCTTATTCTGACCATCCTCTATGTAAATTCAGCCCCCATGCTCCCTATCTTAGTTCCTGCTTGTTTTCTCCTGAGCACTTGCCATCATCTAATATACGTATATTATGCATGCTGCTTATTTGCTTTCTGTATTGTTTGCATCCTCTCCCTAGAATAGAACTCCATGAGGCAGGAATTTGTATCTATTTTGTTCACCGCTTGATCTTGAGCACATAGACCAGTGCCCAGCACATGGTAGGTGCTTGGAGAATGTATGAGGCTAATAAGAAACCAAATCACTCTGGAACTCCAGATTTCTTCTCTGGTCACTCCTCATCTCCTGCATCTCCCATTCTGCCTCTGCTTACCCCCAATATGTTAATGTTCTCATGGATCGATTATCAATGTTGTGTTTTGCTCATTCTATTCCTTCTATGCATCACATGGGCAAGGTTGTATTAGGGTTTATATAAAGATCAATATGATAATGTACATAAGGAATCTTTGCCAGGCCTTGATACATTAGGCTAAATACTTATCTTTTAGAAACATACTAAATGTAGAAATCTGACTTATATGTTCCACACATAGAAAGCTGACAAGCATGTCACTTGTATAACCATTAGATATGACTTCTCGATCTTGTGTTGTACTGAGTTATTCTTTTGGGTTACAGCTCACCATGGCCTCTGGCTACACCATGATGGACCCCATCTGTCTGGTGGAAAATCAGAATAATCAGCTGACAGTAAACCCAACAGCACTGGAGATTCTAGGCAAGATCTCTCAGCCTGTGGTGGTGGTGGCCATCGCAGGTGTGTATCGGACAGGAAAATCCTACCTGATGAACCGCCTAGCAGGACAGAACCATGGTGAGTGTTGTTCTGGGGCAGCAGCCATTTGCTTAGAGATAGTAATAACAGAGGCTGATCATGCCTCTCTCATGGTCATTTTTAAAAAGCCTAACTTCTTCCACTGCAGAAAAGTTTTAACCATCACCACCAAATAAATATCTTAAACCCCATTGTTCCACAAAATCTCACTCTTTGAGCCAGTAAGAAGGGGTTCCCAGATCCCATCCACTCTTTCTGCTGAAGAGCTCAGCTCCAGCAATTATTCCCTTCCTTTCTCTCCCATCACTTTTGTCCTAAACTTCAGTCTTTTCAACTAGGACACAAATATTCTTCAACATGTCCTGTTTTCAAAAAGGGATGGTAGGAACAACAGACAACAGTATATTCTATATATGCCCTCTCTCCCTTGTTCTAAAGTCCAGTTTTTTTTATTGCTAAGCAAGACTTTGCTAAATTATACCCTCTTTTCTGTATCAAGTATTTTCCAATATGTGAGCTATACCACAGAAGAGTGCACAACACATACACATAAAGAAAGTTAATAAACATAAAGTGATGCTCTGTGTAATCACTGTCCATATCATGAAATAAAACATCACTAGCACCCAAAAGCCCTAGATCAGTGATGGCAAGCCTATAACACGTGTGTCAGAGGTGACACCCGAACTCATTTTTTTGGTTGACTTTTTTTTGTTAAATGGCATTTAAATATATCAAATAAATATCAAAAATATAAGTCTTTGTTTTACTATGGTTGCAAATATCAAAAAATTTCTATATGTGACACGGCACCAGAGTTAAGTTAGGGTTTTTCAAAATGCTGGCACGCCAAGCTCAAAAGGTTCTCCATCACTTCCCTAGATATACCCTCTGACACCTCACTAGAGCTCACCAATATTTTGATTTTCATGGTGCATGCTTTCACTCTTCCTTTTGAAGAGAGGTTTTACAAGCTGTGTATGCATTTATAAAAATAGCTTAAATATTATATAAAGAGAAGTCCATTCAGGTATTCTTTGGAATACTGCTTCTTTTGCTCAACAAAAAATTTATGTTTTATCAAGTTTGTGATATGTATCTGTAATTTATTTATTTTCACTATTTTATAGTATGCTATTGTGAGAAGATAACCATAATTTATTTATCCATTTTTTGTTAATAAACATTGGTTTTGTTTCTAGGTTTTTACTTTTATGAATGATGCTGATATAAACCTCCTCAATTGTATATCCTGGTGCACAAATACACAAACTTACCTTGTGTGACAGACACAGAAATAAATTTGCTGGGTCATGGAGTATATATTGCCAGAAGCCGGTCCATCCTTGCTGCTTGACACAGTCGCTGCAGGAAAGAAACATCTGCACAGCATATGTTTCAAGGGACCTGGCGTATATAGCATACTGTTCTTAATATGTTTGCTCCCCTTAGCGCTGTGTGTTTTAACCAAGGTCACCTCTCCGAGAAAGGTTTTTTTCCCAGGTAGGGATTTTTCCTTGAAGTCAGGGAGGGGATAAAACTCCTTAACTAAGTGCCAGGTGGGTAGTTAATCACTTTAACTACAAACAATCACGCTTAAGCTACATAATCTTTACTCCCTGGAATGGAGATAAGAAACGCCCTAACCTTTGCAATAGAAATTGACAGGATTAAAATCAACTGGGATAAATACGGATGTAACAAGACAATAAACACCAGGACTTCCCTGGAGATCCAGACCAGAACTTGGCTGGAGATCCTGGCTAGAGATCCTGGCTAGGCTGCTGATCAACTGAACGCTGTCTCTGTGTCATTCCTTCTTCGCCGACTCCGTCTACACCTTTGGGAACCCCTGGACCTGCTGGGGTTGGACCCCAGCAATATATGTTGTCAGCCTTTCTAGATACTCTCAAACAGTTTTTCAAACTTTATATGCAATGTATATGTTTATAAGCAGTAATTGAGAATTTTCCACAACCTCATAAAATTTGGTAGAAGATGTTTAAAATTTGATGATCTGGTGACTTATATAAGTGCATAATATTTTCCTTATTATAAAAAACTTTGAGCATCTTTTCACATATTAATTTACTCTTTGAATTTCCTATTTTTTTTAAATATATTTTATTGATTCTTTACAGAGAGGAAGGGAGAGAGATAGAGAGTTAGAAACATCGATGAGAGAGAAACATCGATCAGCCGCCTCCAGCACATCTCCTACTGGGGATGTGCCCGCAACCCAGGTACATGCCCTTGACCGGAATCGAACCCGGGACCCTTCAGTCCGCAGGCCGACGCTCTATCCACTGAGCCAAACCGATTTCGGCTGAATTTCCTATTTCTTGAAGTCATTTTTCTTTCCTATTAGGTTGCCCCTTTGGGTTCATAGTGATTTTTAGAGTAATCTGCCTATAACTCAGTTCTGTACTTCATTTCTCTCTATGAAGACCACACATTATTTTTAAAAAATATATTTTTATTGATTTCAGAGAGGAAGGGAGAGAGGGGAGAGAGAGAGATAGAAACATCAATGATGAGAGAGATTCATTGATTGGCTGCCTCCTGCACGCCTCCTACTGGGGATCAAGCCCACAATGTAGGCATTGCCCTTGACTGGAATCGAACCCGAGACTCTTCAGCCCCAAGGTGAATGCTAAGCCCATGATTGGCAAACTGCGGCTCCTGAGCCACATGCGACTTTTTGGCCCCTTGAGTGTGGCTCTTCCTAAGCCTTAGGAGTACCCTAATTAAGTTAATAACAATGTACCTACCTATATAATTTAAGTTTAAAAAATTTGGCTCTCAAAAGAAATTTCAATCGTTGTACTGTTGATATTTGGCTCTGTTGACTAATGAGTTTGCCGACCACTGCGTGACTAAGGCAAACCAGCTAGGGCCACACACCATTTTTATTTTCAAATGTCTTCCTCTGTGTCTCATAAGATCAGCACCATTATGGGTTAAACCTCAATACACTGAACTCCAATGATTCCTAGAAATATCTCTCATTGTCTTTCTCTCACTGTGTCTCTTTCTTTCTGTCTCACTCCTCTCCCTTTCCTTTTTTCCTTCCTCTCTCCTTTTTGCTTTATAATCTTTCCCATATGTTTCTTTTTTTCCCTCCATTTGTTTCTAACAAAACATTTTGTCTTGGTCTTTCCTGTAGAGAAATTCTAGACCAATCATCAGGGAAGAACACTTTTTTTTTGTCTTAAAATATTAATAGGTATTTTTTTAGGATTAAAGTTTTGAGAACACTAAGGGAGAGAGGTCAGTTAAGGAGTTTCAACACCATCCTTTTAATTCTACTCAAGATAACCTCAGGTAATAACAAGGTGCTATTTCATTGCTGAAGCAGTCCCAACCACCAAAAAATTTAACACACCTAGGTATAGACAATAATATTGTAATAATTATGTATAATGCCAAATGGGTCCTTGTAATATCAGTGGGAACACTATGCAAAGTATATGATTGTCTAACTCTAACCACTATGCTGTACAATTAAATCTAATACAATATAATGTTGAAAGTAAACTTTAAATGGAAAAACAACAACATCTAAATTGTGACTCTACCACCCATTCTTAGAACAGAAAAAAAAAAGAAAACAAAATTATTTGTGCCCAGTCAAGGTTTAGGAGCAAAACTAGGTCACTACTTTCTCCCCTTGTTGATAACTTTCTTTATGAGTTTTTACCTCTCATAACTGAGAATGACAATCTTCAATTATACCTAACTTTTCTCACTGGGAGAACTGGGAGTTCAGATTACACTGTATTACTAAACAATCAAATACTATCCCAGTGTAGAAGAATGCAGACCATCTCAGGCTTTACACCTCTCTATGAAGAACTTGCTGGATGTGGAAATAGAATGGCCTGAGCCAAGCTGAAGCAACTGTCCTTACACATTCCATCATGTCCGTTTCTAGACCCCATTGAAGGAAACATTGCCCTATGGTGGATGTTAATAATGTTGAACTGTTGGACAAGGTATTTCACACATAGGTTCTTGGGCATATCCTTCACACGCTCCCTACCTGTTGGTTTAAGCCTTTTGAAAGAGGAGCTAGCACCTTTCACAGGTATTTTCTGCCTTCACTTTCATCATATCCCCACTTGAGTCAGGGATAAAAAACAAAACAAAACTCATCATTTCCTTTAAAATGAGAAAAATACAGGAATAAAAGGGAAGGAAAATCCAACAAAGCTAATTATCGATCTAGTTCCTGGCAGGAAACACAAGAACCTCTCAAGGGGTAACTAAAGAATGTTTAATAGAGGGACTCATACAAGGTCATAAGCAGGTCACAGAGAACTAACTTGAGATGAGGAAGCACCCAGAGGGTGGCAAAAGCAATGGCCAGGCAACTATAGTCACTCCTATAGCCTGAACGGACAAGCAAAATGTGACACCAAAATGTGGCAAAGACCAGCACTTTTGGATGGAGTGAAATGAAAGGGCTGTGACCCACTGAGAGGAACAGAGGCACTGGGACACCAAAACTCCCCAAGGGGAAGTGAGAGGACCATATTTCTGACCTCTAGTCTCATGCTGGCACCTCCCACTGGTGGAACTCCACCAGAACCTGAAGGACAAGGGAACTCGTCAATGTCAGAAAAAAATATAAAGGTCAGTAGAGGTTATAGTAATTCTGAAATGTGACATAGCTTGAACCATTGATAGTATGAAGTGAATAGGGAACAGAGAGTGTTTCTTGAGAAGGTCCTTCACATGCATAAAGGTTGGATAGGCTGTCCTTGCTGAAACTTAAGCAACCTTTCTCCCAGCCTGGCACTCACATTCTGATAACTTTAACCAATGTAATCTATGGGAAGCCTGGACTATCTGCTCTTGTTCTATACAAGAGCTTTCTCCTCTAACTTCGCAGGATTCTGTCTGGGCTCCACAGTGCGGTCTGAAACCAAGGGCATCTGGATGTGGTGTGTACCCCACCCCTCGAAGCCCAACCACACTCTGGTTCTTCTGGACACTGAGGGCCTGGGTGATGTGGAAAAGGTAAGGCAAAGAGTCTTATTTGTTCTTGATAATTCACATACATTTTAATTGGCAACCACAATTCATTTTTTATGAAATATTTCTGTAAACTACAGATCTTATTAAGAATAATGAGGTTAAATTTTGTTTTCTTGAATTTTCTTTCTTGGAAACTCAGTACTTTCCTTATTAGGTATAGATGTTCTGATTTTTGTAGTTGGTCAAAAGGTACAAGATAACAAACACTTATTGGGCATCTAAATTCTAGGGTTTTGTGTTAACCACTATAGATATGCATGATTAAGGAAAAGGCCCAGAGCCTCATTAGGAGATAAGAAATATGCGGTGTTAACATTACTGGGTAACCTGCATACAAGGAGTGACATATTTAACCAGTCTTCAGGATACAAAAAATATCCAGGAGGAAGCTATAATTATGGGATCAATGTACTCTACCAGTTAAGGTGTGTGTGACTGATGGGCTGAAAGGCAGGAAACATGAAAATGATATTTCAGTAGAATAACATATTTAAATAATATTCAAAAACATTCAGCTACTCCAGACACATTAATTAAGGTTTTAGTCCAAGTCTCTGGGTTTTAGACATGAATTCCTCCCTGACTTCTATAAATTCATGAGCTAGACCCACCAAAAATATACATAAGCTAGAGGTCCAGTGCACAAAAATTTGTGCACTTGGCGGGGGATGGGGGGGGCCCTCAGCCCGGCCTGTGCCCTCTCACAGTCTGAGACCCCTCAGGGGATGACCACCTGCTGGCTTAGGCCTGCTCCTCGGGGGATTGGGCCCAAGCTGGCAATCAGACATCCCTCTGGCAGCCCGGCAACCCTCGAGGGATGTCCACTTGCCAGTGGGGAGCAAACCTAAGCTGCAGTCGGAGATCCTTAGCACTGCTGAGGAGGCAGGAGAGGCTCCCACAACCACCGCTGTGCTGGCAGCCACTGGCTTGTGGCTGAGCAGAGCTCCTCCATGTGGGAGTGCACTGACCATCAGGGGACAGCTCCTGCATTGAGCATCTGCCCCCTGGTGGTCCGTGTGTCATAGTGACCAGCCATTCCCAGTCATTCTGCTGTTAAGGTCAATTTGCATATTGCCCTTTTATTATATAGGATAGAGGCCTGGTGCATGGATGGGAGCCAGCTGGTTTGCCCTGAAGGGTGTCCTGGATCAGGGTGGGAGGTCTTGCTGGGGTGCCTGGCCAGCCTAGGTGAGGGGCTGATGGGTGTTTGTAGGCTGGTCACACCCCCTTCAGAGTGGGGGTCCCCACTGGGGTGCCTGGCCAGCCTGGGTGAGGGACTGATGGCTGTTTTCAGGCTGGTCAAACCCCCTGGTGATGGAAGCTCCCAGCCTCTCCTTTTCTTTTTTTTTAATCTGGGACTTATTTACCTTCTATAATTGAAACTTTGAAGCCTTTTTTTTTTTTAATTAAATCTTTATTGTTCAGATTATTACATTTGTTCCTCTTTTTTCCCCCCCATAACTCCCCTCCTCCCAGTTCCTGCCCCACCCTCCGCCCTCACTCCTCACCCACTGTCCTCATCCATAGGTGCACGATTTTTGTCCAGTCTCTTCCCGCATCTCCCACACCCCTTTCCCCCCCAAGAATAGACAGTCCATTCCCTTTCTATGTCCCTGATTCTATTATAATCACCAGTTCATTCTGATCATCAGATTATTTATTCACTTGATTCTTAGATTCACTTGTTGATAGATGCATATTTGTTGTTCATAATTTGTATCTTTACCTTTTTCTTCCTCTTCCTCTTCTTAAAGGATACCTTTCTGCATTTCATATAATCCTGGTTTGGTGGTGATGAACTCCTTTAGCTTTTCCTTATCTGTGAAGCTCTTTATCTGACCTTCAATTCTGAATGATAGCTTTGCTGGATAAAGTAATCTTGGTTGTAGGTTCTTGGTATTCATCACTTTGAATATTTCTTGCCACTCCCTTCTGGCCTGCAAAGTTTCTGTTGAGAAATCAGCTGACAGTCGTATGGGTATTCCCTTGTAGGTAACTGAGTTTCTTTCTCTTGCTGTTTTTAAGATTCTCTCTTTATCTTTTGCTCTTGGCATTTTAATTATGATGTGTCTTGGTGTGGTCCTCTTTTGATTCCTTTTGGTTGGGGTTCTCCGCGCTTCTTGGACCTGTAAGTCCATTTCTTTCACCAGGTGGGGGAAGTTTTCTGTCATTATTTCTTCAAATAGGTTTTCAATATATTGCTCTCTCTCATATTCTGGCACCCCTATAATTCTGATGTTGGTACGCTTGAAGCTGTCCCAGAGGCTCCTTGCACTATCCTCACATTTTTGGATTCTTTTTTCATTTTGCTTTTCCGGTTGGGTGTTTTTTGCTTCCTCGCATTTCAAATCATTGACTTGATTATTGCGCTCCTCTGGTCTGCTGTCGGGAGTCTGTATAATATTCATTATTTCAATCTGTGTATGCTTAATTTCTAGTTGGTTCCCCAATATAACATCGAGGGTCTCATTAGTTTTCTTGTAGATCTCATTAAGTTTATCGGCGGCTTCTAAACAGTTCTTGAGAGACCTTAAAAGTGTGGTTCTGAACTCTATATCTTCCATTGACAATTTTGTCCTGTTTCTTTGTCTCCGCATTTTGTTATGCTTCCTTGGTGCACCCCCTACTGGTCTTTGTGCGCAGTCTTATAGTTAAACCTTGATTGTTGTAGCTAATACCAGGGAAGGTTTGACCTCCAGGCCAAGTGGCTATGAGAATCAGCTGTGTCTGCAGTGAGAGAACTTCTGTCCTCTAGGGAGGTGCTAATCTGGCGTTTGCCTGAGGCTATCCGGCAAATGCCTGTGTGCAGGGCTTGGGCGGGGCGGGTCGCACAGGATCAACAGGGTGGGCCGGAGAGAGCAGTTATGGCAGCTTTCAGTCCTGTCCTCAGGGGCTCTGCCTCTCTGAGTCCCAGCACCCGCTGCAAAGCTCAGAGAGAAAGCTGCACTCGCTCCGACCGAAGCCAGACAGTCCCGCTTCTCCCGTTTGAGTCTGGGTCCCTAAAGACTCGCCTGTATCTGGAGCTCAGAGTCTGCGACTCCCTCCCGATTGAAAACGCCAACCGCGCCCTCCGCCGCCAGCCCACTCCCCGCACTCCACACCTCAGAATTTGACTTCAGCACTGCGCTTCCTCTGAGTGTCCGTATGCGTTTCTCTTTCCTCCTAGTTGTAGGACTTCCACTCAGCCAGCATTCCTGTGGTTCTGGGTGATGTCTGTTCCGTTTTTTAGTTTCACTTTTGAAGTAGTTGTTCAAGGCAGCAAACTCTGGCGTTAACCTATGCCGCCATCTTGGTTCTCCTCGAAACTTTGAAGCCTTGAGTGGAGCTTAGAGCTGGCCAGGGTGGGCAAGAAGCTTGGCTTCCTCCATCGCCAGGGGCAACCCAAGCCTCCTGCTTGCTCCAGCTCCGTGGCTGCCGGCCGCCATCTTGGTTGGGTTAATTTGCATATAGTCATCTGATTGGCTGGCGGGCATGGCTTAAGGCATAGCAAAGGTATGGTCAATTTGCATGTTTGTCTTTTATTAGTGTAGATGTTATATTTTTATGTATTTTTTCATTGCTGTGCTATTTGCAGTCAATCTTGTGTCCTTATTTGTATTAGCCAAATTCTAAAGTGATAGTAGCACAGTGGTCTTTGGCTTCCATTACTGAAAAAAGAGTAGGGGCAGGAATTAAATATTCTGAATTTTAATATTTTTTATTGAATTTATTGGGGTGACACTCTATAATCAAAATTATACAGGTTTCAGGTGCACAATTCTACAGCACATTATCTGTATACTATATTGTGAGTTTACCACTTCAAGTCAAGCATCTGTCCATCACCATTTATTCCCCATATACCCTCCTCCAACTTCTCTCATCCCATTCCACTGACAATCACAACACTGTTGCCCTGTCCATGAGTTATTTCTCTTTTTCTTACTTTTTGCTCAATACTCTCATTTTGCTCAATACCCCCCCCCCCACACACGCACACATACCTGTCAGCCTCCTCTCTATTTATGTGTCTGTCTCTATTTTTATATGTTTTTTTATGGATTTGAGAGAGAGAGATTGGAAAGGAGAGGGATAGAGAGAAAGAAACATGGATGAGAGAGAAACTTTATAGACTGGCTGCCTCCTGCATGACTCCTACTGGGGGATTGAGCCCACAACCTGGGCATATGTCCTGACCAAAAATCAAACCAGTGACCTCTTGGTTCCTAGGTCAATGCTCAAGCACTGAGCAACACCTGCCAAGCAGTCTGTTTCTATTTTGATTGTTAGTTCATTTTGTTCATTAGATTTCACATATGAATGAAATCACGTGGTACTTATCTTTCTCTGATTGGCTTATTAGCATAATTCAAGTTTAAAGTACTCGGTATTCACCTCAGTGTAAACCCAAGATGATATACAGATTGCTAACAGATTATAGTTTACATAAACCTTCTTCTTTTTAGCTAATTACATTTGTAAAGGAGCCAAACATCACTCATGATTTACCTTGAATGTTATGTTCAGACTCATCATCTATTCTTACCACATACATAGCCACTATTTCAATCAAATAAAATAACATGTTATACCTTTGTATGAACACACTTTCTGACTATTCTGATTGGCTTCTATAGATCCTTCCATCTACATGGTCTCTTTCTTTCCACAGTTCCACATTCTGCACCTTCTTTAAAGCCCAGCTACTTTAAACCTAATAGGATTGTATCTCATTCAAACATAATCCCTTCTTGCTCTGAAATCACAGAGTAAGTTTTCTGGGTTTTGCATTCCCCCTTTGTCTTTTATGTTGTAACATTGGGTTGCACTCCTGGCAGAGTTGATCACCTTGGATGCATTTACATGTTGCCAAGTATATTTGCACCTCCAGGAAGTCATCTCTGGACGTCAGAGATTGCCCTATGAAATTTTATATCCACAACAGTAAGTGTGGTATCTGGCATTTTTTAGATGCACAGTGAGAAGTTAGTGAATTTAATTGACTAGCATTTGTGTCACCAATAAGCTCATGGTCAAGAGAAACTAACAAAAAAAATTATTATCCACTTATTGTTGCATACTTCTATGTTCTTGGAACTGTTTTAAACATTTGACACACATTTACAGTGTCATTCACTTCTTTTAATTGCTAAAGAACTCAGACCTTGAGAAGAGTCAATGTCAAAACCCAAAAATGAGGTTTAAATTTATCACTGTCTCCACAGTGTTTGTTATTTACCCTACTGTTTAGTTATAGTAGAGCCTACATAGTGCATGAACAACTGAATGGGTGATTGAAGAGAAGATACCCAATGCTCTACTATAATGCACTTTTTAGGGCGACTCAAAAAATGACTCGTGGATCTTTGCCCTGGCCGTGCTTCTGAGCAGCATGTTTGTCTACAACAGCATGAGCACCATCAACCACCAGGCATTGGAGCAGCTGCAGTATCCTTCTAGGAACCAAACCTCCATGTGTCATGGAGGCTATGGGAATGTAACTGAGACTATTTTGTTGTTGCTTTTCCTTGTGTCAATATTCATGATTGAGCAAAAAGGGACACAGGGTGAATGGGAATGTTAATAAAAATGATTTCTGGGTGAGATCTGGAAATTTTGGTATAGAGGACTTCTCATTCCTTAGCTAAGATCCCAGCTATGTGACTGAACTAACAAAGCTAATCAGGACAAAGTCGTCTCCCATCTCTGGTGAAGCAGGTGACTCCGCCGAGTTTGCAAGTTTCTTTCCAGACTTTGTTTGGGTTGTCCGGGATTTCACGCTGGAGCTGGAGTTAGATGGATGGACTATCACTGAAGATGATTACCTGGAGAATGCCTTGAAGTTGGTTCCAGGTACCAGAGGATGGTCTGGGTGGTAGAGGGTTCAGTAGGAGGTGAGATTAACTGAGCCCTGTCATTTAGCACTTTAGGTCAATATAATCTTTATTTTATATTGCACTGAGGCCCGTGCTAATGGTGTTATGGGTATGACAGATGGGTATGGTTTCAATTGTTATTATTACTAAAAATAGTCCAGTGACCAGGATTTAAGCTGGCTAAGGAAGGAGAACCCAATATTAGACCAAAGATTTTAGAAAATTTGACACCATGAAAAAATTTTGAGGATAACAACCAATGCTAAGACTTCTTAAGGCTCAAATACTTGTGTTTCTGATTAAGTTTAGTGCTCCTCTGCTTCTATTTATAGAAAAATTCCCATCACTATGGATGATGGTTAACACAGAATCACAAAGTTATCAAATGACTTTATTTTTTAAATATATTTTATGTAGTCTCTTTTAATAGCCTGCATAGTTACATCATATGTATATATATAAAATATTTCCCAAAAATTTAACATATCCCTCCAGTAAGACTGTCAAATCCTTCATTATCTCATTGTTATAACATCACTCTCTTCAGTCCATAGCCTATTATCATGTTCATATGAAACATTCATTATATAGAATACATTTAGCCAAGAGGAAAATGAGTGGTGCCAAGAAGCATGTCCATTTTTGTTAATTTAATCATTTGTTTATTCATTCTAAAATCATTTATTGAACAGCTGATATAATCCCAGAATTACTCTGTGTGACCTTGTCATGTCCACTATAGTCTGATATAGAGAACAGGTGACATCTCCAAGTGACATTAGGTTAACCTTATTTGTTGATGTTATCTGCTAAAAAGTCTGTGAACATATTTATATTGTATTTTCCCCATTCAAATTCATTTATTGCAGATTTTCTGAACATTTATGTGATCAAAGATTCCTTTGAAAACCATATAAATTCTCCCCAAGTAAATTTTGCTTCTCTCTCTCTCTCTCTCTCTCTCTCTCTCCCTCTCTCATATGCACACATCATGGAGTTTATGGAGCACATAATTTTATCTGTTGATACCAAGTTAGGAATTCCTGCTTTGGTTTTTCTAATCTTTATTGTTGAAAGTATTACAGATGTCCCGTTTGTTTTTGCTTGTTTGTTTGTTTGTTTGTTTGTTTGTTTTTCCCATTGACCCCCTCCACTCCACACCCACCCCTCTATTGCCTTCACCACTCTATTGTCTGTGCCCATGGGCTATATATATATTCCCTGGTTAATCTTTCCCCACCCAAGCCCCACCCCAGTTGTTTGTATTTTTTACTCTAATTTTTAGAAGTTGTTCTTATTATTGTCTGTACTCCTCATCATATTTTTCCAAGCAATATCATAAATTTCCATATGTCTACCAGGAAATATTTGACTCACATTATATTTCTGACCATAGGACTATAATATAAAGTTCTATATGCAATCTTCGCCTCCAAAATGATTTGCTGGAGTTTAAATACTCATGGATTGCTTGTCCTCCACATGGTATTTTTCCGAACAATATCATATATTTTCATATATCTACCAAGAAATATTTGTCTTTACTTTAGAACCCACATTATATTTCTGACATGTGGACTATAATATCAAAAGTATTTCTGACAATTTTGGGGATTAACCTATTATTCAAAAATACCTAATAAATAGTCAAGCCATTGAAAATCATGGAAAGGCTAAGAAAAACAATCAAAAGTTTCTTCAGATGGGATAACTTCTTCCTCTTCTTCCTCAGAAGTATTTCTTTTACTACTGGTTCTGGACACACACACACACACACACACACACACACACTCACAAATCTATGTTTTGGGAAGATTATCATTATGTTGATTTGATGATTAAATAGGAGTTATGCAAGCACCATGGAAATGAACGTCCTTTTCTGAAGACTGTCTCACCAATCACTGCTCTTTTTTCTTCTCTACAGGGGAGGATCCCAAAATCCAGCAAGCCAACATCCCTAGAGAATATATCAGGAAGTTCTTTCCAAAGCGAAAGTGCTTTACCTTTGACCGGCCTACAACTGACAAAAAATTATTACACCGTATGGATGGGGTGTCAGAAAACCAACTAGAATTCAGTTTCCAGGAGCAATCCAAAAATTTCTGTAACTATATCTTCACAGTTGCAAAAACCAAGACTCTTAGAGAGGGAATCATTGTCAATGGAAAGCGTGAGTCTCCTTTGTTACAGCATGTTTCTCTGCAGTTTATTGTGTGTGATTGTACCCAAGGTTTTTCAGCAGTTTTGTTTCCTTCTCTATGTAATATGAAAAAGGTATAGTAGATAAATGCCACACATAAAAATGCATGTTTATTCATACAAGTTTTCCAATATGAGGGATTGTTGAAGCCCACTGTATCTCATGAAACTAATACACTAATGACATAAGCACAAGCTGCTGTTAAGGAGAGGAATCTGCATGATGATGATAAGACCAATGAGATGAGTATGTCTTGTTGAGGATACACAAGATATTTTGAGAATTTACACCAGTTAGAAAAAATATAGAGCAGAATATAAGGCTCTGAATGTTCATTAGAGTTTGAGAAGAAAAGTTCACTATAGCCTTATGTGCAGGGCTAGATTCACAGATATACTACCTGAGCAGACATACAAATATTAAACCAAATATGTGGCTGAGATTCCTGGAATTATTAATAATTTTTTTATAAATTTTCATTGGAAAATTTTCCCCACAAACTATCTATTGACCTGTAACATAAACTCTCTTTAATTTTATTTCAATTGGGAAATGTATCTAGAAGACCCTTGAACATATTGGCTGAGATCTTTAAGTTTATATTATCATGTGATAAATGTGAGAACCATAAAAGGGAAAGTGTATAAGAGACATAGTGATGTTATTATAGAGAAGTGGATTTGTGGAAGAAAAAGGAGGAGACAAGGATGAGGGTAAGGAGGAAAAGAAAAAGAGAACCCAGAAATTTTCATTTCAGTAAAGTTTTTGTTACTGTTAGAATGCTGACCTGTAAAGTTTGTAAAGCATGAGTGAGAACTTCCTGTCCATTTCCTGAATATCATGTGTCATTCAGGGCTGGGGACTCTGGGAAAGGCCTATGTGGATGCCATCAACAGTGGAGCAGTGCCTTGTTTGGAAAATGCAGTGACAACTCTGGCTGAACAAGAGAACTCAGCAGCCATGCAGAAGGCAGCTGACCACTACAGTGAGCAGATGGCCCAGAGAGTGAGCTTCCCCACAGACACTCTGCAGGAGCTGCTGGACCTGCATGCAGCTTGTGAGAAGGAAGCCCTTGAGATCTTCATGGAGTGCTCCATTATGGATGAAAAGCAGGGGTTCCAGGAAAAGCTTATGGTAATATGTCTTAGCATATATCCTTCCTAATTCCTGTTTTTCTCGATTGATGCCCAGACATTATCTTTTTGACCCATAGTTCATGTGTTTTCCATTTTAAAAGAGCTTAAATTCATGTGATTGACTGTAGTCTATAGTGGACTATAGACTACTATTCATTCTTTTTCTGAATAATTGGATCCTTATTTCTATTATAGCAAAACAAATTAATGTGTGCTTATTATCAGTTTGCAAAAAACACATTTATTAGTTCACAATTCTTCAGTTGTGTTCCTATCACAAGATGTATGGGTACTCTGCTCTGTGTACCAATAGCTGAAAACAAGATAGAAATGTACACCTGAAACTAACATATCATAAGGAGGCTCATGGGAACTGCTCTTACATATTCAAGGCAGCAATGGTGCATTATATCCCTATCTTGTTTCTCATATCTTTTACTACCTGTCTGACACCAACTGGAGAAAACTTATTTTAAAGAGCTGATGTACTTAGGTGTGCACACTTGAGTAATCTCCATTTCTTAATGTCAACCTGTGCCATATGATAATCTAATCATGGATCAATATTCAGCATATTCACAGCCCTAGGGACTGTAGTGTATGGATACTAGAACAGAAAACTCTTGAGAACAACATAATTCTATTTAACATAAGCACATTCATCTTGTCTTTGAATTTGTCATTGGCCATTCTATAAGTTACAAAACTCTCACTTCACACCCTAGTCAGTTTGGCTCAGTGGATAGAGCATTGGTCCATGGACTGAAGGGTCCCAGGTTTGAATCCCAATTGATGTATCTCTCTCACATTGATGTTTCTCTCTATCTCTTCCCCCTCCTTCCACTCTCTTTAAAAAAAATCAATGGGAAAATATCCTTGGGTGATGATTAATAGAAGAAGAAGGAGAAGGAGGAGAAGAAGAAGAAGAAGAAGAAGAAGAAGAAGAAGAAGAAGAAGAAGAAGAAGAAGAAGAAGAAGAAGAAGAAGAAGAAGAAAACCAACAGGATTGAAATTTTTCAAGTATAACAAAAAAATTAAAGATCTTATAATTTTACACAATTAAACCCTCATTGAAATAATTCATGAGGAGTTCAAAATTCTGTTCAATGACCACTTACTTCATTAGTGTACAATTTATTTCATGTGTGTATATTTTTACTTATAGTAATACTAATTTGCAGAGGAAAGTCTACTTCCAGTCATATTGAACTTTCCATTCCTCATTGTCAATGGATGGACCTCTGTTAATACTACGACTGATAAAGGAACCATTGATAATACTGGATTGCATATTTGGAATTGGCTAACAGAGTCTAACTTAAAACTTCTCATGAAAAGAAAAACAATTTTTGTTACTACATAAGGTGACAGATAATAACTAGACACTGGGGTGATCATTTTGCAATGTATACAAACATCAAATCATGTTGTACATCTGAAATTAATATAATGTAATATCTCAATTATAACTCAATTTAAAAAATAAAGGAACCATGGAGTTTGTGTCTACAAACCTCCTCATCATTTCACAAATGTTCAGCATGAACCCAAGAGAATTAAGGAAATTCCCACAGGTCACCCAAAGAATTGGTTTTAGACTAAATTAGCTTCTTGATGTTGCTCTATGATTCCATGCTCCAGACCACCTGTTTCTTCCCAGAGGATCACAGTTGGGACTTCCCTTCTAAGAGCCTCTTTCCTTTGTACTTCTCAATATTCCCTGGCAGGACATCATAGAGAAAAAGAAGAAAGATTTCTTGCTGCAGAATGAAGAGGCATCTGGAAAATATTGCCAGGCTCAGCTTATGCAGCTTTCAGAATCCCTGATGGAAAGTATTTCAAGAGGAATGTTCTCTGTGCCTGATGGATACAAGCTCTACTTAGAAGCAATAGACAAGCTTGAACAGTCCTATACCCTGGTGCCCAGGAAAGGAGTGAAGGTGAGCAATAAAAAAGGGGGGGAAGACCAGCAGAGGAGGTCACAGAGTCTTTGTGTATCCTTTTGAAAATCTAAGATCACAGGGCCATTTGTGAAGAGAGAGCAAAGCATGGTGATATCTGTGCATCTTTATCTTCTATATCCACAATTAGTTAAATACCCAAATAAACAAGAAGTCGTTTTCCCATATATAAGATTTATTATCAGGAATGTAGATAAAAGAGAACATGCCTTTCATTTAGGAAACAATGTAATAGTTTTGCACTGTGTATAACAAACAGATACATAATTTAAAAAACAATATTCTCCAGAAGCTTATGATCTTGCCTAAAAAGGAAATATAAATAGTCAATTTGATGGGGGGGATAATGGCTATCATACAGGTATACACAAATAGTAATAAAAATGATGGTGATGGCAAGTATATATTGAGCACACATTTCCTAAACCAAGTATATTCTTAGGTGCTCTGTTTTGATTATCAATTCAATCTTTAGAATAGTATGATTTTAGGTTCTACTGTCATCCCCATCATACAATTGAGAAATGATATTCACTGAGAAGGTAATAAGTGACCTAAGAACACACAGTCAGTAAGTGGTACAGGTGGCAGGGTAGGTATATGCACATGGCATCCAGTCAAATCTCAGAAGGAAGTTCAGCAAAGCTGCCTAGAAGAGGAGGTAGAAGGTACAAGTTGAAGTATCAATAAATGATATGAGTGAAGAAAGGGTAGATGAGCATCCAGTCAGAAGAAAAATAATCTGCAGATCCTGCGAACAATTGAGGAGGAGTGTTTGTAGAATGGCACATAAACCAGGTTGTCTATAACCTGAGGTGAGTGGTGGCTGACATTGTGAGGACCCCGCAGGGAGACCCTCGCTCTGTCCCACCGACCGACGGCGACCCCATTCAACCACAGGAGACGTCACTTGATGCAAATGGCATGAGGCTTTATTCCAGCGCGCGCTGGGGCTCAACCCGTACTCACTCACGCAGGAGTAGAGGAGTTGGGCGCCCAGCAAGCGGTTTTTTCAGCTATTTATATGCAAAAATCACACATCAGGGAGGGGGGTGGCATGCAGGAGGGGGAGAGGAGAACAAAGAGATTCCAAAGGGGTCTGGTTCGTGTCTTGATAGGGCATTCCTACCTCGTGTTTTCACAACCTGTTTATCTCAAGGTTGATTGAAGCCCGGTTTACTCAGCCTGCCCTTTGTTGGGGCTATCTCCTGAAACAGCCTTAGGGAGGGCATCATTCTCTCTGTTCCTATCTCTAGTGGGGGAAGCCTAGGGAGTTGAGATAAAACGGGCAGCTAGGCCTGGCAGCTGGGCCTGTGCAGTTTGTAACATTCTTTTATTCTTTCATTCCCCCATTTGCTTTTTGGTAAGTTCTAATCATGGAACTTCTGTCTCTAGACATTCCTTTTCGAAACTATCTCTCTGGCGGAGAGACTGGTATTGCTGCCTGAGCACTAGTACTTGCACAGCACTTATTCCTTCTCTGATAAAGGTGACCAGTCGGTTTAAGATACAGGGCCCAAGAGTAAGAATTAAAAGCAATATAATAAGAGGACCCATAAGGGTGGATATGAGGGTCCACTGAGTCCTGGACTTCTCTATTTTGCCTGGGCTGTCTTAAGCCGGGTGTGATGAAGCCACGTCGGGATCCCGTCGACCTGACTGCCGTGGGGGTGGTCCTTTCAGTCCTTGGGTGGCAAATTTCTTTACCCAAACAGTGTCACCAGGTTGGAAGGGATGAACTGGATACAGGCAGATCATCTTGGACGTGCTTCTGGTCTGCTTTCTGGGTAGACTGTAAAGCCTGAAAGAACTTGAGTAAACGGGTGAGATGAGTAGTACAGGGTCTGGAAGAGTCACTAGAATCTGTAAAGGCCCCACTGGTTTTAGGGCAGCCTCCTGGGCTGCTTTGTCTGCAGTCTAGTTCCCTCCTGCTTCTGGGGAGTCAGTGCCAGTTGGCCCATCGTCCTTGCTCTGCTCATGTCTGTCTAACTGCTTACTATATTACCTCAAGGATCCTGGCTCTGAATTCTTTCAGGGAAAATGGGCGTTGAATTCTCTTCTGTAGCTGCTTCGTGCTGAGGAGGGACAGAAGTTTCTCTCAGAGCCAAGAGATCCTTGCTATCTGTCAGAGGGACGATGAGGCCTGGGCACAGAAGGAGGTGGGCTTGTGACCTGGCAGAGACAAACTGTAACAATGGTCTGGTGGGAGGAAAAGAAAACATTTCAGTTTTAATAACCTCTGTTGAAATGGGATTTTTCTTCTTAAAACTCCTCTATGGCTATCAAAAAGCCAAATCAAGACCAATTTATCTACTGTATCCAATTTGGCCTGATGTTTGCATAAACACAACAAGAATGGTAACTGACTACCTGTGCTGGAATTTCATGATTGAATCTTAATGTGCCCCATAGGGCCAGGAAGCCAAGCCATCCAGCTGCCATCAGGCCTGCCTGCTGTATCTGCTGCGTTAGGTGAATCCCTCACCTGTAGCAACTCCACCTGAGCCCACGCTCTAGGCTTTAAGGCCCATCTCAGTAGCCCTCCTACTCGTTGCGGCCCAGAGTGTATGGGGTTCCGCAGGGATGCAGAGGCATCCTTATTGCTCCCCTTCTACTCTTACCAACCGCCAGTGATGGTAGGGCATGGGCCTGACGCTTCAGCGCCAGCCATCTTCAGGGCTCCCAAGCAGGATACCAGGCTTTTCCTGTGGCACTTTTATTGGCTTCAAGTCTTCAGAGCTCAGACAGAACTCTTTAAAACATGATACTCCAGTCAAAGTTTTCATTAAATAAAACCACTACTGGAAACTGGTCTTATTGAATTTATGCAAAGAAATGTATTGCCATGACTTATTAAGCATTGCCAAATTTCAGAGGAATTATATAAGGAGAAAAACATACTGATCTGCTCTAAGATCTTCTGATTTTTCTTGTTATTGCTCTTTTATCATTTTCCCTAAGTACTTTGGCATAACTATTTACCCTCTGTTTAGGGAGGCAGAATGTAAATTATTTACTCTTTCTGACTTACTGGCCTGTATCATTTGATTAATTTTCTTTTAACATTTCTCTTCTCCTTCTTATCACATATACAACCTTTTTTAAATTTCATGCTTTCAAATTAGCCTTTAAACCTTCTTTCTATGTCCTTAAAAAATGCATAACCATGCCTTAGGCCTTCTATTCCAAACAGGCTTTTCCCAGTTTTCTACAGTTGAGGTTTTGTGTCACCTCTGACATGGGCATGGTCACACAGGCCCACAAGATAGTATACAGGCTGCCAACTGTCAACTGTCTCTCGATAGAGACTAAAACCTGATGGGTATTCTCCTTTGCCCAGTTAGGCACCTGCCCTCTTGGCAGCTAGACACCCTTTACTTTTGGAGTTCACCCCACATAGTCCCCTTCCAGGACAGCTAACACATAGCTATAGCAATATTCCTCAATGTGGGAGACTGGATATTTGCCAGTTACAGCTGCATTTAAACCTGTAAGAGAATTGAAGGTTAATAACACACATTAATACAATGAAACATAATAACATAATATTGGCATCATGGCCTCTTCAGGCAGTCAAATCCTCTGCTACTAAACATGAGATATGGCAGGGCTATACAAACGTTTTAGGGAGGTGACTGAAGTCCACACTTTGACCTTTCTATATAAGGTAAAATTGTCCTTGTCTTTCTGAAGCCATGTTTATGAAGATGCAGGCATCATCTGAGTCTATTATGCAATTTTCTGCAGGTATAGTCCTTTTCAAGTTGGGGTGAGTCCTGGGGTCGTGAACTTCTTTACCCATACCGAGTCCCCAGGCTGGAAAGGATGTACAGAGTCCGAGGTGGCACTGGCAGGGCATCTCGAACAAGCTTATGGATGGCTTGCAATTTCTGTAAGAGATCACATCCAAGTAAGGGGTACAGGCATTCTGGCATGACTAGAAACGAATGAGTTACCGTGTTCTTTCTGAGGTCCACAGTCCTCTTTGATGTCCAAGGAAAAAGGCAGTTTGTCCAGTGGCTCTTAGAACTGGTGTCTTCTTAGATGTTACTGGTCCCATTGGCTCTGTCAAGACTGAATAGGCTGCTCCAGAATCACCAGAAAATTATCCAGGGGTTTTATTTATCTACAAATAATTACACCTAAGTAGACATATAAACATCAAATAAACATCCATATTTACACCTTTTCAGTGAACAAGTACTTTTACAGTCTTGGGAATTTTGGCAGATAACAGGAACACTGCCCAAGTCCCCTGATGGGGGCCTGACAAGAACAGATGTGGGGGCCTTTGGCTGGGGGGTACAAAGTCTCCATTCTTCCTCTCTAGGCACTGCTAAGGACAGGATCATTGGAGAGGTCTCTTCACCTAGGCAAGGCTGTGCTGAGTCATCTGGGGCAAAAGTGGTTTCTGCTCAGTTTCCCTATTTTACTTGTCCCAGCTTACTGGTCTATTATGCATTCTATTTTCTTAAAATGTATTCTGGCACAGGAGAAGGTTGTTTGCTGCACAGAGGCAGCTAACCTCTACACAACTGGGCTCGGACATCTGCCCAGCAACCTGCAGCCTATAAGTTCAATATGCAGCCTCCGGTTTTTCTAACCCAACGAGGTTTCGGCCAGTCTGAGTCAGACTCCTCCTCCTCTCTTGGAGAATTTCAAAGTCCTGATAGCTCCCAGGTCCAGGGAGAGTGCCTTTTTTTGTTAACCCTTAGGGCCCTGCTTTTTGCCTTTTTACCAGTTCCCTTTGTGGCAGAGCAGCAACCAGGCCTCTTTCAAGGGAGCGCACTGGAAGGAGATATTAACCCCTCCTCTTCCAGCCTAGGGTCTCCCAGGGGCCCAGCCAGAGCGTCCCCCAGCAAATCCCGGAAAGCCGCTGCCCTTTTGCAGTGGTATGGACTCAAGCAGGGGTTCACTGGAAGTAGCCGGCAGCGAAGCGCTCACTGGCTTCTGCCTGCAGCTGCTCGCGCCCACAAGCTCTGCCCCGCAGGTGCCCGCCAGCAGCTGCTGCAGCTCCTGTAGGCTCTCCTTGACTGCGCACATGCCTCTTCTCCACCAGGGGCTTCCGGGCCTTGCGGGCAGCTCAGGCATTCAGCCCCCCCTTTCTTTGACCTGGCTCTCAGGGGCTGAGTCTGCCTGGCAAACAGTTCTAAATCACCAGGGGGGCTGTGGATTCTAGCTTTGTTCCTCCTCCGCTTTTCTAGCGGGAGTTCAGTTGTTGTTTTATTTTATTCTTAGAAACCTTAATCCTTTAATGATTACCAAAGGTGAACATTCGGCAATTTTAGATTAATATTTATGAACATATTTTAAATGTACTTTTACTCTTAAGATATATCTAGACCTTTTGTGATAAAACTAAGAACAGGTATCAGTCTGATTCAGCATTGGAGGGGTTAAAAGAATAAACCAGGGCAGAGAAAGACTGTGCTTACAGTTACTTTTTGTAACCTTGAAGTTCATTGATAAGACCTGTTAGGTTTGCAGCCAGCAGCATAACTGCCAACCCCCCCACTTCTCTCAGCCCAGGCTGCTTTTCTTCACAGATTTTTTTTTTTTCTTTTACTCTTTTATAAGCAATCTCAGAACTAAGCAATCTTGGAATTACAGCGATTTATAACCCAGGTAAGAGCAAAGAGCAACTGATAGACAGAAATTTATATTAACTAAGTGGGCGGATTCCTTCTGTAGTGGCGAGCAAAAGACTCTGAGAACTGCTAGAGATTCTTGCAGCCCACCACGGGTCCAGTCCAAACGTTCAGCCAGATGAATTAACAGAAATGCAAAATAAATCAAAGTAACTTTCACTTTACACAGACTAGTAATGAGCAGCCAAAATAGATAAGCACTCGTATTCACGCTCTCAGTAGACTAGCCCAGACTGAAGCTGAGCAGATAAACAAAACAATGCCCAACTCCCCAGACGGGTGTGGGGGCACTCCTGGCACCCATGTCCCAGAACAGAATTCTTGACCAACGTTTTGGTGAGAACCTACCGGAGGAGTTAAGACTGCATCCAGTCCCCCCTTTTGGTAGCAAATTGGCTAGTTCCACACAAACAAACAGCTGTTCACTCATGCTTCCTCAGTGTTTTAGCATTCATTTTAATTTTACAATCTCTATTGTATTCCTTTAAAAAAATTTTTCAACATGTAATTAAGAACAGCAGGTTTACTTTGTCCCGACCTCATGATGATCGGTGACGAGAGACAGACAAGGGAGGGGTGACCTGTTTTCACAGATTTTCACTCAGGTACCCGCCTGACCAAAGTTGTGGAGCCACACAAAGGAGAGGAGAGGGCAGGCCCCCTCCCTCCACACTCGCACACTTTCACCAGACATTCATTCAGCAAAGGCATTTAGCCACCACAACACACAGTTTTTCTCAATCAGTAACATTTTTAAGAATAACCTTCAAAAATGCAAGACATAAGTTTTTTTATCATTTGAATTCAGTAAGCTTCAAGGTCCCAAGTTCTCAGCAGTTCTGGAAAACCACACCTGAGGCTGGCAAGCAGGTTTGACCCAGCCCTTGACTTTAAAACGACCATAATGCTTAAAGGAGTAGTTTGAGTCTGTCCCATAGCGTCCGTCCAGTGAGTCCACAAAATCAAACAAAAGAACACAGACACCAAACAAACAAACAAAGACACCTAAGAACAGCCTTCCGACCCCGCGGAAGAAAAACTGAGTCTGTCCCATAGTCAGTTCATATGCCACCAAAAACACAAATAACACAGAAGTTGCAGACACGAGGACCCACTTCCCCCTCCTCGTCTGCCACAAACACTTAGCGGAATCAGATGGGCGTGATCCTGACAATCTCTGATCCAACAGCTGAAGCCGATCAGCGCCCTTACTAAAGGAGACTACCAGGCGTCCCTGGCTCTCCACCACCCTTGGGGCGTCCCCCAGGGCTGCAACCTGTGGTCCTCCAGGCACGTCTACCGACCACTGTTCGGCCACTCTCACGAGTTGCCGAACGGCTGCCAAACCGAAAACGAAAGCGCGCACTCAAATCCAGACCGCTTGACAAACACAAGACAAAGACAAACAACTCGGGGCCCTCCTTACCTCCAAGGTCGGCTCCACGGATGAGGGGTGGCCATCTGATCCCGGACGAGCCCCCAAATGTGAGGACCCCGCAGGGAGACCCTCGCTCTGTCCCACCGACCGACGGCGACCCCATTCAACCACAGGAGACGTCACTTGATGCAAATGGCATGAGGCTTTATTCCAGCGCGCGCTGGGGCTCAACCCGTACTCACTCACGCAGGAGTAGAGGAGTTGGGCGCCCAGCAAGCGGTTTTTCAGCTATTTATATGCAAAAATCACACATCAGGGAGGGGGGTGGCATGCAGGAGGGGGAGAGGAGAACAAAGAGATTCCAAAGGGGTCTGGTTCGTGTCTTGATAGGGCATTCCTACCTCGTGTTTTCACAACCTGTTTATCTCAAGGTTGATTGAAGCCCGGTTTACTCAGCCTGCCCTTTGTTGGGGCTATCTCCTGAAACAGCCTTAGGGAGGGCATCATTCTCTCTGTTCCTATCTCTAGTGGGGGAAGCCTAGGGAGTTGAGATAAAACGGGCAGCTAGGCCTGGCAGCTGGGCCTGTGCAGTTTGTAACATTCTTTTATTCTTTCAACATCATTAGGACAGGGACTATCGAGTTGGGAAAGAGGTTGCAAAAAGCGTTTTATTCTAACTAAAGTGATTGGAGTTTTTACTATGGCCATGGAATGAGGGGAACCATTGTGGGATCCTAAGAAAGATGACCAATTTACAGGGTCAATTTTTCAGTTTTGTTGAACAATGAATTCCCAGCAAGAAGAGTCTGTGCTCCTTGTTTCCTCAGGCAATGGAAGTCCTCCAGAACTTCAAGCAGTCACAGGCTGCAACAAAGGAATCCATCCTGCAGGCTGACAAGGCCCTCACTGCTGGGGAGAAGGCTCTAGCAGGTACAGGGCAGAGCAGTGATCACAGAGGGCAAGGGTGGTTCCTCCAGTGCCCCTCAATGTGTGAGAGCAAATCCTTCTTGAAACAAGATGTTTCCACAAAAGGATTAGAATAACTTGGCTAAATCTAAAAATAACCAGTGAGTTTTAATGGCTCCCTCAGGCAATCAGTGCCTTTCCATTGTATTCTGAAGCATGTTTTGCTGGTATTGTTAGTAAGAATATTCAGAGATTCCTCTTGACATTATAAAACCTTTTAGGATCTTACCTTTGACGAGTACAGCTACGTATAGCTGTTATTTTCTCTCTGTAAAACCACTGTGAAACAGCTGAACAGGCCAAAAAGGAGGCAGTGGAAAGGAAACAGGAGCTTCTAATGCAGACACTGAGAGAAACACAGCAAAAAATGGAGGCTCAAGAGAGAAGCTTCAAGAAAAACATAGCCCTACTGAAGGAGAAGATGAAAACAGAAAGAGAAAATGAAGAGAAAAAAAAACGGGAAGAAATGGAGGAGTACATGCAGAGTGTAAGTCTGGGCGTGGGGTGGACAAAGTCTAAAGGTAAGTAACATGGTTTCTCATGAAGAGAAGAGCAAAAGTTTTAATTAAAGTTACAATGATTCCCTGAAATGTCAAGTTAATTGGATAATTCTAAAGCCCTAAGTCTTTAAGACTAAGCACCTTCTGTGGTACTAGAGTTTTGGGAGGTCAGTTAACATGCTCCAGGCTTCCGAACTGCTGTTTGTGGTGATTATAGAGTTTCCTTTGCCCCCAAGTGACTGACTTCAATTCTTAGGATGTTTGGTACACCCATCAAAATTACCTGATATAGTGCTAACTGGTCTCAAAGTCTCAGATTACACATGATAGGAAATATGGGATGCTGATAATTCTAAAATTTGCTGCATTTGTTTCCACATCAGCCTGCTTCTTTCTACATGTCCAGAGTAAATGCATTTTTTGTCCCTACCTGGAGTTTGATTGCCAGTGTTCTCCAGAGTCAGCAGTTCCCATATGGATAACATGGGTGTAGCCATCCTTCTTCAATGGAACTGAGAAATAGAACTAAACCTCCATTCCCTCCCAAGGAACATTTCTAGGACTGAAACACATTCCTGGCATATTTGTCAGGCCTGACCCAGACCCAAGCCCTCTCCACTCCCAGTGGGATCCTGCTAAGGGCACATAGGTACACGCTCCTACTACCAGATCTAAAGGTTTGGAAACACTGGAAAAAAACATCAAGGAGCTATTTGAATTCTACAATGATTGTTATTTGGGTGGTAAAACTAAATTGAATTAATGCATTATTGCTGGGTTTTGCTTAAACTCATCATCTTTATTTCATAATTCTAACTTCTACTGCATCACTAGTTTGAAGAGTCACTGAGGAAATACCAGGAAAAAGAGACGCAACATGAGATTGAAGGTGAGAACAGCTAAAAACACCCTGAATATAAAAATAATGAATTGTACTTCAAAATTAAGAACTCTGCTTTTTGAAAAAGCAGACTTTTCATTGAATTTGAAAAGTAACTATTTGAATTTGGAAGTAACTATTTTCAAATCACACAGATAAAGGACCTGTATCCACAATATTTCAAAAACTCTTAAAACTCAACAAATATGTCACTATTGGAAGAGCAAACATCTTAAGTATGAGAGGAAAATGATATAATTTAGTTAGTAACATCATTACTTATAAGAAAAGTGGAAATTCAAGCCACAATGAGATACCACTATGCATTTCTAGAAAGGCTAAAATTAAAAGGACTAAACATCTCAAGTGTTGGTGGGGATGTGGAACCCTTATACCCTGCTATGGGAATGTAAATGGTAAATTGCTCTGGAAAACTGTTTGTCAGTTTCTGAAAAAGTTTCATAAAAACCTACCATGCCATCTAATCATTTACTCCTAGATATATCCTCAGTAAAGATGAAAGTTTATGTACATACAATAACTTGTTTGAAAATGTTCATAGCTGCTTTCTTGGTAATAGCCAATAACTGGAAACAAGCCAAGTGTCCATCAATAGATGGACAACAAAATTTAACATATCAATACAAGAAAATACTACTGAGCAATAACATGGAATAAACTAATGATACATAAAACAATGTTACAAAAATAAATATTCTGAGTGAAAGAAGGCAGACAAAAAAGTCTACATACTGTATGATTCCATTTATGTAAAATTCCAGAAAAAGTAAACTATTCTCTAGTGACAGAAACTGGCCGGTGGTTTTGCCTAGTGATGGGGGTGAGATTTTATGTTCAGGAGGAGGGCCAAAGGGCATGAGGAGATGTTTCAGTCATAGGTATGTTCCTAACTTGATTGTGGTTTGGTTTGTCAGGTGTGTACAAGTATAGTAGATAGATAAAAATGCATTTGGCAGTAAATAGTGTTACCATTATACATCAATAAAGCTGTTCAAAAAATATAAAATTTTAAATATATGGGAAACCCTAGAAATTTTGTCAACAACATTAATGCACTGGAAATCATTATTGCAGTGCAAATAATAGTTTGTAGCAAGTATAGTTCATAGTTCAAGGAGATTTTTAACTGTTGTTTACAGTTGTCTTTTGCTCCCTCAGTGCAAAAGCTATCACAAGAGGTTTTCTCTATGAAATAAGAATAAAACAAAAAAGATGAGGTGAAAGGCAAAATAAGCCATAACAATTTCACCCTCATGTTTCTCTGCTTATTTTTCTTTGTCAGTGCAACGTATAAAGGCTGAATCTGAAGCAACTACAAGAAAAATATTGGAGGAAGTACAAAAAAAGACTGAACAGAAGTGGGAAGAGACAGAAAAGAATTATCAGGAACATGTGAAAAGACTTGAGGAGATGGAGAAGGAAAGGGCAGAGGAAGCAAGGAATGTAAAACATAAACTTCAGGTATTCAATTCTGTCATCGCCATTTTAACTTCAACTGTACAGAATCAAAAACGTTGCTTAGAAAGTAGAGCATTATGTCACTTTTCTAGCCCAATCACTTGTAGACTCTACATTCTCTTACTGCTTCTACCTGTTACCATCTCTGGTTACTAAAGGATAATACTTGCAGGATAAAATTTCATGGAATCCTTTATTATTAGATCACTAATAAACAATAATTGTTCATTACTAGGCACTATTCAATGGCTTTACGGTCATTCTGTCATCTAATTGTTATATTATGTTCTAAGTGCTATTATAATCTTATTTTTAAATGAGGAAATTGTAATATCATGAGAGATAAGTATTGTTTCTGAGTCCTGCCTTGTGGAAGAATAGCTATTCTGTCTATCTGACTGAGTGGAGTTCAAGGTATTTTTGTTTCCTCAGTACCTGGTGTAACTGTATCTCTGTAGGCACCCTAATGAAGTAAGACTCTGTGACCAGCTACAGAATTAACCATGTAATTACATACCCAGGCTGCCTGTATCTTCTTGTTCTCCAGGCTCTACTGAATCCAGATATCCATCCAAAAATACAATATGGACTGGCACAGGCCCTGATCTCTTCAACTTATTTCTGTTACCTTGCCACCAAGTTTTGGAGAGTTGTATTAAGTTTCCTGACCAATCATCTGCCATGATTCTGAATTATGTAGTAAACTTCCCAATGGAATTCACTCATCTGTCTCACCTTCTTAGATATATATTTGAGAATCCACACCACCTAGATCAGAGTTGAGGGAAAAAATGATTTATTTTCCAGGAACACTATGATGCATGTGGGTGAAGAAAACCAAGAATAGGATCTGGGTCACTAATATTTTAGAAACTATAAGAAAGAACATTTCTGTAGCTAAATAAAGCCCAGAAATATTATTGGTTGGCATAGGAGAAAGTGATATGGTAGAAGTTAAGAAAGGCACATAATTAAAAATAAATTTGAAAAACTCATAACATAGGCATTGGCAGGGGAAATAATTTGGCAAATGTGAGAAACATTTTAAATTGTGTGAGTTCAGTCTCCACTTTTTCTTTTAGGAATCTGAGCAGAAAATTGAGCGGCTTCTCGAGAAGAACAAGAAACTTGAAAATGAGTTACAGTCCAAGGGATCGTGTAACATATTGTAAAAATCCCAGGATCATCATTTCCTAACTAGCTCCCTCCACTCCCCACCCCCCAGAGGGAACAACCTCTGAATGTCAAACAGTTGCCTCTGAACTAAAATTGGAAGCATGATGTTTGTAATTTTTTTGTTTGTTTTGTTTCCTTAATCCTCACCCAAGGATATTTTTTCCATTGATTTTTAGAGAAAGCGGAAGGAAGAGGGACAGGCAGAGAGAGAAACATCAATGTGTCTGTGAACCAGTGCTCTATCCACTGAGCCGAAATGGCTAGGGCTGATGCTTACAATTTTGTTGAACCATAAAGTTTGTAAAGAAGAAATAAACTGTGAAGACAATGGTTTTTTTTGACAAAGTGATTCAATTCATGCTTAATTATAGTAAGAGTGATTAGCATGATTCTTAACTGGATCCAATATTTGAAATCAGGCATATTGAATCTAGAGACACATTAAATTTAATAATGGGATGCTTTTTACAATGAGGAGATAGCAGGCGGGTTCTGTTCAGGATAGACTTGCTCTCTCTCATATACCTCACCCCACTAGACATCCTCAGTCCTATACTATTGCTCAAGGGTTTCCTTTGGTTTGGGGATAGGGTTGGGGTATTGTGAACTTCGTTAGGGTAGTGATGGCGAACCTATGAACTCATTTTTTTGGTTGCTTTTTCTTTGTTAAATGGCATTTAAATATATAAAATAAATATCAAAAATATGTCTTTGTTTTACTATGGTTGCAAATATCAAAAAATTTCTATATGTGACATGGCAGCAGAGTTAATTTAGGGTTTTTCAAAATGCTAACACGCCGAGCTCAAAAGATTCGCCATCACTGACTTAGGGCAAAGATAATGGAAGTGAACAAAGCCATGGGACACATTGATCATCACTCCTGACAAGAAGTCTATGGCTCATGAGCTGGCTGCAAATAAGGGAGACCTGGGACAATTGATTGCAAGGTGCAAACAGAGTACAGTTCTTGGTGGCTGTACTTGATTCGTTGGTGGCTGATGGTCTCTGGACACAGATGGGACTCTGTGATACTGGTAGAAGAAGTACTTGCCTCTGTGCAAAATGGATTTATGTGTGGATGCTTCACCCTCACTGTCTACAAAATTTTTCTGGGTAATTACTGTCCTGTCCACAGGCCACTCATCTCTTTCTCTTCTACTCTCCTTCCTTAGTCTATTTTTTTCTCCCACAGTTCATAGAGTAGCTTCTATAGTCATACAAAGGGAAGTATTATCTCAAATTTGAGATACATTTATTTTTATTCCTCTGAAAACCTTAACTATAATCCTGTAAAAATGAAACTAGACTATTGTTCTCTCTGCCTTTCTGATTTTTTGTTTGAACAATATTTTGAGAGGAAAATTGAATGTTGATCATCAATTCACACCATATTCAAAAATAAAATTGAGATAAATCATAGTCTTTTTAAAAATATATTTTTATTAATTTCAAATAGGAAGGGAGAGACAGAGAGAGATATTAATATTATTAATATCAATGATGAGAGCCTACAACCTGGGCATGTGTCCTTGACTGGAACCAATCACAGGACCCTTCAGTTCCCAGGCTGACATTTTATCCACTGAGCGAAACCAGCTATGGCTGAATCATAGTCTTAAATGTTAAAGTTAATATCTAAAAGAAAGCTAAAAGAACAGAAGAAATTTTTCATCTTGGAGAGATAAAAGTTTCTTAACACCATATAAAATGCACTCTACATATAAGAAAAACAATTGTTAAATTAATCTTCATCAGATTTAAAATATTCCATGGCTATAATCAACAGTACAAGAGATAACAAATGCTGATGAAAAGGGAACCCTAGTGCACTGATGATGAGACCAAAATTGATGTCGCCACTATGAAAAACATGAAGATTCCTCAAAAATTAAAAATAATGCTAACATATAATTAAGCAATTCCACTTCTTGGTATTTATCCAAATAAAACAAAACATTAACTCAGAAAGATATATGTACTCTTGTATTCATTGCAGCATTATTTCCAATAGCCAGGATATGAAAACACTCTAAGGGCTCATCAACAACTGAATGGATAAAGAAAATGTGACCTGACCAGAGTGGCTCAGTTGTTGGGAATTAACCTGTGAACCAGAAGGTCACAGTTTGATTCCCTGTCTGGACACATACCTGGGCTTTGGGCTCCGTCCCCAGTGCAGGGCTGCGGGAGGCAGCCAATCAATGATTCTCTATCATCACTGATGTTTCTATCTCTCCTTTTCCCTTACTCTCTGAAATCAATAAAAATATGTGTGTGTGTGTTTTTTTAACGAAAATGTAGCATCCTCTAGCTAATAAAGAGCGAATATGCAAATTGACCGTCCTGCTGTAACACAAGATGGCTGTACCCACAGTGGAGGCTGATTCCCATAATGAGCCTTAACAATCAACAGGGACCTGAGGCTGTGCCCCGACCCAGTGGGACTTGACAGGGGGACCTCAGGCCACGCCCACGGCCCAGCGGGGCTTGACAGGGACCTCCGGCTGTGCCCCTCACCCAGCAGAGCTTGATGGGGCACCTCAAGCTGCCCCCTCAACCCCAGCATTGGTGGACCTGAGGCTGTGCCCCCCACCTGGCACCAGGCCAGGAGACCTGAGGCTGTTCCCCCCCACCACCTGGTGGGGTTTGATGGGGCCCTGAGGCTGTGCCCCCACACCTGGCAGGGCTTGACAGGGGACCTGAGGCTGCACCACCCTCCAGGCACCAGGATGGGGGACCCAAGGCTGAACCCCACCTCCTAGCACCAGGCTGCGGGACCTGAGGCTGTGCCTCCTGCCCAGTGAGGCTTGATGGGGGTCTCAGGTCACATCCCCCACCCAGCGGTGCTTGACGGGGGATCTCAGGCTGCATCCCCCACCTGGAAGGGCTTGATGGGGGAACTCAAAGTGCAACCCCGTCCCTGCCCAGGCTGGGAGACCTCAGGCTATCCCCCACCCACCCAGTGGGGCTTGAAAGGAAACCTCAGGTTGAGCCCCCGGCCAGGCAGGGCTTGCCGGGGCAGCTCAAGGTGCACCGCCCGCCCTGGTGCCAGGCCAAGGGACCTCAAGCACTGGGCCGGAGGACCTGAGGGTACATTGGGAGACATGAGGCTGTGCCTTCTGCCTGGCAGAGCTTGACAGAGAACCTGAGGCTGTGCCCCCTGCCCGGAGGGTTTTAACAAGGGTGGGGCCGGCCGGGTCTGGGTCTCGCAAGATTTTGAGGCTCCATGGGTGGGCGAGGACTTGACTCTGGATCCTGCAGCATGCCCCAGACTCTGATGGGAGGAAGATTTTCATATACATTTTACTAATTTTCTTTCATCTCTGACACTTCTATTATAGAGAAAGGGAAAACAGCAATATTAACATATTTCCTCTAATTAATCTCCTTTTAATGTGCATGAATTTCATGCACCGGACCACTAATGCATATATAATACAATATTACTTAGTCATAACAAAAAAAGGAAACCTTGCCATTTGCAGCAATATGGATGGACCTTAAGAGCATATACTAAGTGAAATAAGTCAGAACAGAGAAAGATGAATACCATATGATCTCACTTACATGTGGACTCAAAAAACCCAGCCATTTTTTCTTAAAACATATATTATTGATTTTTTACAGAGAGGAAGGCAGAGGGATAGAGAGTTAGAAACATCCACGAGAGGGAAACATTGATCAGCTGCCTCCTGCACACTCCCTACTGGGTATGTGCCCACAACCAAGCTACATGCCCTTAACCGGAATCTAACCTGGGACACTTTAGTCCACAGGTCAATGCTCTATCCACTGAGCTAAACCGGTTAGGGCCCCAGCCAATTTATTAATAGAATAGATTGTGGGTTGCCAGAGGCAGGGGGTAAAGACTAGCAGAAATGTGTAAAGTAAGTCAAAATTTCCCGGCCATCATGGCTCAGCAGCTGAGTGATGGTATATGAACCAGGAAGTCATGGTTTGATTCCCGGTCAGAGCACATGCCTGGGTTGCGGGCTCCATCCCCAGTGTCGGGTGTGCAGAAGGTGGCCAATCAATGATTCTTTCTCATCACTGATGTTTCTATCTCTCTTTCACACTCCCTTCCTCTCTGAAATCAATAAAAATATTTTTAAATGATTTTTAAAAAATAATTCATTAATTCAACAATTTTCAACCTTATTTTCTAAAGAGATACATAAACTAATAACTAAGAGTGCTCTTTTAGTAATTAGTTTATGTGTGCCATGAGAAAAGAAAGATGAAAACCACTGCCTTGCCTCGCTGGTATGACTCAGGGGTTGAGCATTGACCAATGACCAGGAGGACATGGTTTGATTCCAGGTCAGGATACATGCCAGGGTTGTGGGCTCAATTCTCAGTGTGGGCATGCAGGAAGCAGCCAATCAATGATTCTCTTTCTATCTCTTTCTCCTTCTCCCTTTCTCTCTTAAATCGATAAAAATATTTTTTAAATAAATAATAAAATCATTGCCTTAAATCTATCTCGCATACTGAAACTTTATGCCCTTAAATAATACCTCAGTCAACCCACCAGCCCCTGGAAACCACCAATCTAATCTCTGCTCCATTGACTTTCATTGTTTCTAATTCCTCATAAAAGTGGTATCATGTAGTATATGCGTCTGGCATATTTTATTTAACATAATATGAACCAGGTTCATGAATATTGCCACAAATTGCAGTATTTATTTTTTTAATTGTTTTATTGCTTAAAACATTACAGAGGGTATTACATATGTCTCCTTTTTTCCCCCGCCTTTGAAAATCCCCTGGCTTCCCCTACCCTCAAGTGTCTTATGTCCATTGGTTACGCTTA